AATATTGATGATTTTATTAAGGAAACCCAAATTAAAGCCCAAGAGGCCAACCAATATTTAGAATGGATTCCTTTAGAGGATCTTATTAGTATGGAAAAATCGGATATTTCTGAGGCTGGTTCTTTGTACACGGCTAATTGGGGAAAAAGGTCCCGCTGATACTTGGGATCCTAACGAGAATAAATTCACTACTGGAAAGTTAATTAAAGTGGCTTTAATTTCTATTGGTGATTCTCCTGAGTCATTTTTAAAAGAGGTGGGTTCTGTTTATTAGTCTTTTTTATATTTCTTATTGCTTATATCTTTTGAAATATTTGATAGTTTAAAATCCATTATCATGGACGCACTCGCAATGGTCTTGTCGTGCGTCTTTTCGGTGCTACTTGCGAACCTGTCACCAATAAGTTCATGATGGTTGCTGAAACGGTGGAGTGGGATTTACGTCATTATATGTCTCATCATTTTGTTCGCCTCACCTGGCTAAACAAGATTGCTATTTTATATACTGTTGCTTGTGCTCTTGGAACCCAAAAGAATGGATTACAACAAAATGATTATAGTGCCGCTAATAAGACAGTTAAATCTCATATTGAAATTCCTTTAAATGAGTTAGGTTTGGATGATGAAAAAGAGTTAATTCCTGTCATTGGAAATTATGTATATGATCTTCTTCCTTTTTTTGCTCCGGAAATTATTGGTGGTGAAAAATATTCTGAAAAAGTTGATGTTTATACTTTTGGCATGCTCATGTGGGAATTTTCTGCTAATGTGCCTCCTTTCTATAATCGTCCCCATGATGCCAAATTTCTTGATGATATTCTTGCTGGTTCGCGACCTACACAACGCAAGCATGTTCCAGAATGCTACAAATCATTAATCAAATTGTGTTGGAGTCAATGTCTTGATGAGCGTCCAACTATTTCTGATTTAATAAATTACTTTAATGAATGGCATCTTTTTGGTAAAGATAAAGAACAGTTTGAAGAAGCCGAACAAAAAAGGGTTGATTGGCTTTTGGAGCGGAGGTTAGACCCTAGCAAAGAAATTGAAAATCCACCCAAAATTCATTCGCAAGCCATATATGGCAGTAGAACAATTAGCATTGGATTCTTAATAGGTCCGGGAGTAAAAAGTTTAGCCAAAAAATGCAAAAACATATCCAAAAATGACGATGACGACGACGATGATGTTACTGATAAAAGTAAGTTATATATTAAATCTTAATCAGTTGCTATTTATGAAAATTATAGTATTTATGTTTTATTGCATTCAAAAGGTTTCTTTACCCTAGAAAGATTTAAAAAAATTGCGCAACCGCGTTCAACTTATCCTGAATCCTAAATTGAACCGAAAGACGAGCATATTTTAAAACAATATGAACTTACGATTCCTGACAACCGTAAGTTTTGTCTCAATTTTTGTGTTTTGGCTTTATTTTTCTTACTTAGCAGACAAATTTCATTATGGAGGGAGATTTGGAAGAGTTATGTCAAAGACTATTCGATTATGAAGTAGAGAAAAAAATAACACTCTAAAATAATAATATAATACACAAATAAATGAATACTCAAATAATTACAGCAACTATTGGTCAAAAATGGGTAAAAAAGGATAGAAATAATGATGATTACTTGATCCTCAAATTAAATAACGAAGAAACTATTTTTGTTTTTTCCCGTAAAGTCAGCGAAGAAAGATGAAATTGATTAGAAGAAGGCAAAGAATATAACTTCACAGTGGAAGAAGGCAAGAATGGTAACAATCTGTTAGTAGATTTTGAAATTGAAATAAACAATTAATTTTTTGGAGGCAAAAAAGGGAAAATCAATGATAAGTTTGTAAAATAATCATATATGACCAGTCTTGATAAAAATGAATTAGCCGAAGCGGGGGTTCAGTTTGGTGGTTCAACCCGGTGACGTAATCCCCAAATGCGTCCTTATATTTATAAAAAAAGTAGTAAGATAAATATTCTGGACTTACAGAAAATTGTTACTAGTTGCCAGGAGGTCGGTAATTATATCCAATCCTTAATTAAAAAAAGAAAAACAATTTTATTCCTTGCTACCAAAAAGACAACTCGTGATATTGTTAAAGAAGCAGCAATAAGATGTGGTATGCCTTATATTGTTAATAAATGAAAAGGAGGATTTTTAACTAATTTTTCCGAAATGAAGAAAAAGTTGAAGGAGTTGCACGGACTAAATAGTTTTTTGGCTCGAGACAATTTCCAAAATTTGGTCAAAAAAGAGCAAGTTAGTTTGGAAAAGAGAAGAAACAAATTACAAAGTATTTATGAGGGAGTAGTTAATTTGTATAGGCAACCTGATGCCTTGTTTATCATTGGTTTGAATAAAGAAAAAACTGCCTTTAAGGAAGCCAAAAAAGTTGGTCTGCCAGTTATTGCTGTTTGTAATACTAATTGTAATCCTCGTTTGGTTGATTATGTTATTCCTGGTAATGATGAAAGTGTCAAGTCAGTTACTTTTTTTGTTAATTTAGTAGCGGATGCCATTAGTGAGATTAAGAAAGGGGAAAAGTCAGAAAGTGGTATTGATAAAGAAAAAAGTGAAGTGAAATAACACAAACAAATCATTATGCAAATTACTAATTCCAAACTTAAAAGTAATTTAGTGCATGCAATAAAAAGTGCAAAACGTTTATCTGTCAGCAAAATTGATAAAACTTAAACTTTTCTTATTTTGTTTATCTCAAGTTTAAAGACAAATCCATCGCACAAAAAAGGAAGTTCCCGGACAGGAAAAACACCAATTAAATTAAAGAAGATAAATCAAACATGGGCGATTATCATCAATCTAGCAAGTTTTTCCCGCGTGAAAAAAACAAAAAAACGCCAAACTATCATCATGATAAGCAATATTTTTGCTTGCCTAAAAGAGATAAATTAAAAAAAGATAAGGTGCAAAGTTACTGAATTAGGTTAAATTACTGCAAATAAAAAATAACGCCAAGAAAATAGTTTTTGTGCCTATTCTCACTCTCGGCTATTTTTAGAACTATGATTGTCTGTTGGTAATTCCAATCAATAATAGATTTGTATAAATTGGGAATAAGAGCAAAAACATTATAAATAAAGATAAAATTATCCCAAGCAATTTGAAATTTTCCCTATCGCGGAAAACAAAACCGCGAATTTTATTCGTAAAATTTAAAATTTACAAAAATTGTTGAAAATATTTGTTACAGGATAAAAAGAAAGTCCTCGATGAATTAAAAACTACACCGTCCGTGGCGGTGCTTTAAAAAACTTTTTTAAAAGAAAAAACATAAAACGCTGTAATAATAGTTAAGATTTAAAGATACTGATTTAAACATTTTCCGAGCCCAGTTGAATATCATTGCCACAGACAACTAAAAATACATTAACCTCTTCGTCACTACTTCCACCATGACTTTTCCAATACCGCCAATGATCAGTCATTTTATTTGCTTGTCAATTGAAAATTGATAAATGAGAGGAAAATATTACAGTGTGCAAATTAAATGCCCACTTTCAGAGAGGAAATTATCAGAGAATATTAACAGAGTTAATAACTTACTGTTTTCAACAGTGAAAAACCGAGCAAGGAGTAATTGGGGGGGTTATTTTTGAGTAGCGTTTACGGCAACTCTCCGTATAGGGAAAAATACGAGAGAACATTTTGTTCTTATCAACAACAATCGTTTTTTTTGTTTGATTTTTTAATTTAAACTTAATTAGAAAAGATCCTTATCTTTAACAATCATGATAAAACAATAAAGATTTCTTATCTTAATAACGAATCAATTGATTCCCCCCCTTGTATTTTTTCATTTATCTTATTATTCGTATTATCATTCATCAGTTTAAGAAGAAATAATTATTTTTTTTATCTCCTTATTATTTCTCTTTGTAATCGCTCTTAAGCAGTTTTTTTCTCCCGCTTAGGATTGTTTTTTTTAGCACAATTAATCTCAGAATCGGAAAATCTTTTTTTAATTTCCAAACAATCGTACACCAAGATTAACGTTAGCAATTTTTTATTACTTGTTTTTCTGACAATCCGCATATTTTTTTGCTAAATTTATTGCGTTTA